TTGTCCTAAATTTCTCACAAAGTGGCGAAAAGGTAAACTATGCTTGTTCCGTTGTGGATGAAATCTGCGCAGTTCCTCACTGGCACAGTTTTAGGAGATAATGCTAATTCAGGTGTGGGGAACCTCCAGATGGTACTGAACTACGACTCCCATCAGCCTCAGCATGCCTGGTCAGGGATGATGGGAACTGTAGTTCAGGAGAATCTGGAGTCTCAAGGGTTCCCCATGCCTGATTTAAATGGGTTGTCTTCTAATGTTTATTCATTAATCCTGATAGAGAATGATAGATTTCTGGATGTGAACATCTTGGTGATGTATATTGGGGGAGAAACCTCATTATAACTATAACTGAAGCCATAAAACAAGACCCAAGTTTGGGAGAGAGAGGGCAAGTAGCCCCACTTCCCATTCTTCAATTCCTGACCTGTCAAACTGTACACATGATATCTGAGGCAGATCAGAGGCAACTTTTAAAAAATGCAATTTTGTAGGCACTCCCAACCACAGCATTTTGGGCCTAAATTTGACATCTGCATAAGGGAACAAATGCAGGTGGGAGGTGGGGAGGGAGTCGCATTATTAGCCCATGACAAAGCAGAGCATCTACTTGGCTGTGATGTTCAAGGCAGCTTCATTGCTGTCTTTCCCCAACCTGACAAAACTCAGAAGGCAACCACTGGCTTTTATCACTTTCCTGGGTAGAAGTTTCCCCTCGCGTGAATTCGACTGCTGTCAAAGGGAGGCAAGTTTTCCTGCTGAATAAGCCCAAACTTTTGGTACCCATGTCAGCTGCCTGATTGAATTGTCCCGCAGTGTGGAGCTTTTATTTGCGAGTGGTTCTATAGATATCTAAGTAACCCCTGCGCTAGTTAAAAAGTCGTCACCAAAGGCAGTGATGAGCCGGTAGGGAATTTTCCATAAGACCTGCTACTGTATTGTCCTGTTACCTTACTATTATTTTATCTTAAAATTCAATAAATAAATAATTAAACAATAGCCACCACCTTACAATATAGTTCTGGAAGGGTTTTCCCCCCAGTTCCCTTCCTTTCCTATGCCTGCATCAAAATATCCTAGCCGCAGTGACAGGGATGTTCCTTCTCAAACTGTTTCCAAAGCTCCAGTGTTCACTAGCAGACAAATAACGTCGCTTATGTGTTTATTTTGTTGGCTGGAGTTCTGCAGGCATAGATATGTCATTCCACCCTATACATACTTAGCTGGGAGCAGGCCCCATCCAACACAACAAACCTTACTTCTGAGCAGAAATGTGTAGGATTGCGCTGAGAGGGATGGAGTTTCTTTTCCGGGTAAAACTTCCACATTAAAGCCAAAACGATATTTCCCAATTTCGGGAGGGGAAAATACCTGGGGAAATTTTCAAATTTGGAGGCCAAAACGAGAAAGAAAGAAAGAAACAGAAAGGAATTGACTTGTGATATTCAAAACCAGAAGGCTTCTGATGTGGGGTGCGGGGAAATAATTTCAGATCAAATCCAAACGTCTTATTTTCTTAAGCAATCCTAGTGAGTCTGCATGTTAACAGTGCCTTTGCTGCATCTCTCCCAAAGGACAAGTGATGCATTTGTAGATCTCCTAACTTATTTTCTCAAGTGGGTAAACAAAGCAAGCACAAAAGAAGATAAAGATACAGGTACTGCTGTATTTAAGCTAAATCAAGTCCTTCCCCGCCCCCCTTTCCTTCTGATCGGAGTCCCGTTCTCGGCTCTTGTGCAGCTGCCGGGTATGCATGGTTAACCTCTGCTCAGCCATACACAGAAATCTTTTGTCCTAACATACAAAAAGCAAATCATTTGGCAAAGCTTGAGAGTATAATTAGATATAAGACTTCAGCTGGATTAATCTTTTAGGGCATGTCTTCTTCTTTTCCTCCATCCTTAAAAGAAAAGAAAAAAAAGAACCCCCCACAATTTTGAAGCCTTAAATAATATTTAGTTGAGGGGAATGACACTGTTTTTTCTCTTTCCTTTTTAATCTAAGAAAGATGATTATATTTTCATAATGGCTTTCAGTCACTGACCTACCAATCCTATGCATGTTCACCTAGAAGGAAGATATTTCGAGTTCACTGGGATTTGCTTTTCAGGAACTATGCTAGGATTGTGACTCTAGTTCTATTTAGTTTTTTTTATAAAATTGCCCAGTCCCTACCATCAAATGTCTACCTCAGGGTATATAGGGATGTCTTCAGATAAACTGAAATGGGCCGTTTTATTGAAGACCACATAAAATCTGCCCTGTCTTCAACAGAGGACTTGAAATAAAGGCTAAACTGGTCATCTGAAATTAGATAGTCCATTGCAGAATACGGCTGACCTAAGTAGGCTTAGCTTCACCTACTTGGAAAGGAAGCTATTGTAAATGGATAACTGTCTTCACCCTTGTGCAATCATAGCAGTTACTGTCAACTGTCCAAGATGGCGGTGGGATCTGCTGAAAGTCTATACATGTTTTTCTTAAATACACACAAGGTTTTTTTTATATAATTATTATTGCAGAATCATTTACTTCAGCCAGAATAATTCTAAACGTATTTTGCTTCCAAATTGGTTTAAGCGAAGGTTTTAATGGTCATGAAGAAAATGCTTTTAAAATGTTTTGTTCTAGGCAATTGATAGGAGGGATTGAGATCCTGTCCCTACAAACCCTTTCACAAGCCCCACTCACTTAATGTTTCTTCAGCATTGTAGGATTTGGTCTGTGGAAGCTTTCAGCTTTCACTGGCTAAGACTGAACTTTGGATGGCAGTTAAGTGTCTTTGAATGTTACTCTTGGGTAGAGGGGTACGGAGATTGAGCTGGGCTTATTCTGCATTAAGCCTCAAGGGATATGAAGAGAACTGGACTGGGAGACTGAATCAGTTTCTGGTGTTAATTGTGGAGATGGAATAGGAATGTTTAGAATGGCCTTGCCCAACCTGGTGGTCGAGTGAACTGTATATAGCCCATGCACTGTTCACACAACACGTTTCCCTGCATTGCTGGTAATAGATACCCATTCATAGGAGTCATTCTGCTCTGGGAATCAGCCATACTAAAGAGCCATTGTAGGGAAGGAAGGGAACAGAACCTGAGTGGAAAGAGGGGCTTAGTGGAAAAGAAACCCAGAACACGAGGAGTGATGGATTCAGTTCCAACCTCTTTCGGCTGGCTGTTGTAAAATTGTAAAGCAAACATAGCAGGAGCCCATGAAGCAGGTGTCAAAAATAAGCAACAAAATCAAAACTGTGAAAATACAGCTAAAATGGGTGGGAGGCTCAGACCCTTGGGCCAACTGTGGCCCTCCAGTCATCTCTGTTCGGCCCTTGAAAAAAACCCAGGCCACACCCACAACCAGGCCACACCCCTTATCAGGCTGTTCCACATATCCTTAAGTGATTTTGCTTGGCTGGGATGTGTTGAACTGTGATAATGTCTCTGGCTTGCCTGGATGGAGAAGTGTGTGAGGAAAACCCACCTTCTCTGCTGTGAGCATGCCCCACTCCTGCCATGCCCATGGCAGCAGTGGTGTGTGCCCATGACAGAGGGACATGGTTGCTGCGGGAGCATGACAGTGGCAGTGCGTGGTGCACCCCTCAGGCCCAGGTCTGCCGCCTGAGGTGGCTGCCCCACATCACCCCATAGGCCCTGCATGTGAGAATGTAGAAACCTCTGTCTTTTGGATAGACTGCTGTACAAGGTAAGAGTTGCATCCTTTTCCACGCCTGCTTTTCTTTCTGGAAGGAAAGTTTCCCACCCATGGTCTAAAATATATAAACTATTAATATAGCATTCTGTGACTCTGCCTTGACGCAGTTCTCCTCATAGTTACTGAAGGTATCTCTTTAATTTACGACTACCAGTTGCTTTCAGTGGGACTCTCCTGATATATGTAGCCCCTTAATTGCTTTCTTCATATTTTTGGAACTACCATTGTGTGTGATTTTTGTTTGTTTTAATCTTTCCTCCTTTCCTATTATTATTATTATTATTATTATCATCATCATCATCATTATTTATTCCTACGTTTGTATAGTGCTTCGAAGCATTCAGATCACTTCACGTGTATCTTCTAGTTGCAGTCCTCACAACAGCCCTGTGAATTAAGCCAGTATTATTGTTCCCAAACCCGTAAAATGGGGGATGAGGCAGAGACTTGCCTAAACCCAACTAGCAAGATCACAGGCAGATGCAAACTGAGATCTTCCTGATTCATAGCTTCTCTTATCCACTGTGCTCTGGACAATCTTGACTAGGTTCTTTGCCCTTCTCACATTTTCATAGCTTGGAACTTTTGGAGAAATTGAGATCTTCAGTCCCCCTTCCCCACTGTCACTGTTACAGCTCGGGGAGTTAATTTGTGAAATCAGGTTTTAACTGGGGCTTATCCTTTTCTCCATTGATTGCATCTTTTTTTAGACATCACAGAAAAAGTCCCATTCACATGATACATCTGGGGATATATCAGATTTGAATCTCTGAAGAGAGTCTGCATGCAGGCAAGCTGTCCAAGCATAAGCTCTGGCCATACGCTAAATTCTGTTTCCTCCACCCCACCCCATCTATGTGCTCATATCCTCAGATATGTCCCATGGACAGCCATAGAGATTCCTTGACTACCCTGTTGCTATTCCAGTCCTAAAGATGTTACTCAAAATGCAGGAGACTTTGTGCACTTGGCTATGAAACTGCAAAGCTGCAGAACAGGCCTTCATCATAATGCTCACCTGGGCCTCGATACCTTCCTCTTTTTGCTGCCTGCCTGGGTGTGCCAAAACAGGGCATTTGATACCTAGTAGACCCAACATGCAGCTGATGGACCATATTCATCATGGCAGGTCACCAACAGTTTAGGCTTGCTTGGTGGCTGCTGCCTCTGTCAGCCTGACGGCCTCCATGCATTATGGACTACAATTCCCATCAGCCCCAGCTAGCACATCCAATGGGAGGTTGGTAAAGTGTTTCTACTTTCTGTGGTCCCCAGTGGAGGATTCAGTTGGAGCTGCTTACATGGGACTCCCAGTTTCCTCCTGTCCAGGGGCTGATCTTCCCCACTTCACTATGATCACAAGAATTGGCGCCACCCAGACCATTAATTGGGCCTGTATGTAAGAGGCATGCCAATCAAACAAACAAACATGTCAGAAGCAGCCCACAGCCCTTGTTCAGTAGAAAATCTTGCAGACACACACACACACACCCTGTTGGTGCTGGCTGCAAGTATATTTCAAAAGCTATTGTATTTCCACTGGGGGCCACCACTACATCTAGAATTTGCTGCTCTTCTTATTTTCTCACAGCTGCCTGTTTGTCTATGTTATCTGGAATCCATCGTAGGCAAAACCAAATGGGGGAGAGAGAGAGAGGCATGTGAAGGTCTGTTTGTTCTCGACCAGGTTTTTGTTTTTGTTCCTCTTTATTTCACATGGCTGAATATTCCGATATAAAGAATCTTAAGAGCAGCCGTTCTTCTTCCCTTTGGAACAGAAAGCAACATCTGTTTCCTTGGAGAATCCATCCAGGATAAGAACACAAGCCTTGCAGATAAGAGCCAAGTTCAGGTTTGGGTAGCGAAAGCCCTTCCTGGTATTTTTGTTTTGTTTTTGCTTTAGTTCCCAAATACATCTCGCTCTTCCCGTAAAAGGCGTCTAACCATTATCCTCCTTGTTTGAGGGCGAAAGGAGAGAGTTAATGTTTGTATGCTGCATTAAACAAGATGAGAAGATGCACCTGCATCCAGAGTTCCTGCCTTGTTCGCCAATGTATTGTATATCTTTGCAAACTAAATACGTTTAATCAAATATTTTTTCAAGTTTTTATTCAAATTGCAAAAGAAACAGACAGCCAATTGTTTTGCTGCCTGATCTTCCTCGTCAGGCCACCCTCTTTGCATCTCAAGAAAAATAGCCTTGTGCAGCCTCGGGCCATTTGCATAGAGAATATTGAAACACAACATTAGATTGTGGGTATGGTTTTGTTTTGTTTCTTGTTGTAATGCATGAAGATTATCTTCCCAGGTGAAGGCTGTAATCTTTTTCTCTTCAGAAGGGTTGTCTTCTATAAAATTCACAAGGAGAGGGGGGAAAACTTTTTTTGAAGTAAGACAGACAGTTCTTGTCCAAGCTGTGCAATGATGCAGTATGGACAAACAATGCTTTATGAATGACAGCATTTTGAGTGATTTTCTCTGGCCAAAATAAAAACACTTGCAGCAAATCCAAGCCTTCTCTCTCTCTCTCTCTCTCTCTCTCTCTCTCTCTCTCTCTCTCACACACACACACACACACACACACACACACACACAGCGCTGTTTGATTAAACTGGGGGTAGCTTGAGTTCAATATGGTGTCGCATTATTAAACCCAATAAATATAAGCAGCCCAATTTCTATTAATCTGGGGATATGTGACTGAAAGCAGGAAAGGTGTTTGGAAGCACCAATCTGCCCATAAGATATACTTGGCAGGTACCCTGGGTTATGGTACTGAAAAAAACAAAACAAAACCACACAAGAGGCCATAAGAGGATTTCAAAGAGGAAGGGATAAAAATAAAGGCATCTTCATATAATAATTCTGACAATGATGCTTCCAGACCTGATACAATCCAGATGCCAGTCCCCTCTGCTCCCCACCCACCCAAAAACGTATCTCAAATCAAGAGCAACAATCCATATTGTATACCTACAAGGAAAACATGAGCTGGAAAACTGCATACAACAATGCGTCTCTTCCTTTATCCTCTCTCCACTTCCTGCTCCTTACATCTCCTCTTCTGCTGTTGTGTTAAGCAGGGCTGCGTTGTGCTTTGTAAATAGATAACACTCGGATTCTCACGTTGTTTGAACACTGTTTTAGGTTCAGCTGCAGTACACAGTTTCTCTGATCTTTTATGTTCCTGAGCAGATGTCTTTCATTAATTTATGGATTTATCATCTTTTCTTTTCTTTTTGCCCCCCTCCCTCTCTTCTCTCTTCTCTCTCTTTCTCTCTCTCTCTCTCTTTTACACCTGGCAGCTGGCTCAAGTTTCAGCAGTTATTGTCTATTTTGCATTACACATAGAACTGAATGTCATCTGTCTTCACAAAGCTATGGCAAAGAGTACGGAGGCAAGCCACATCAGCTGCTGGGGCAGAGCCTGTTTGCGTTTTTATTTGCCGTCTCCTCCTCCTCCTCCTCCCCCCCCTTCTACCTCCCCCTCCCCTTTTTACCTCCTTAATATTTATTTGTGCTCATTTTCTTTCCTGGCCTTGAATGGAGCTTAGCTCGTGTTCAGTACAGCTGTATGTTTACTGAATCTATTCCATCATGAGTCATTGTGCGTGTGTAAGTATCCTGGAAACAGCCAGCGCTTTCTTGGAAGAACAGTTGCTTTTCAACACAAGCACTTAAAAAGAAAATTAACCAATTGGTCAGCTCAGATTTAGCAAGGGGGTCATCTCCCTACTGGCCCTTTTAGCGTTCCGTTGGCTCTTTTTTTAATAGTCACTATTAGGGATGCTTTTTAGCAATAATCTAATCTGTTTGAAATAAAATAGAAACGGTGTATGAGGACTGTATTGTGAACGACAGGCAAGGTTTAGGGGAACAGAAGAAAGGGGCTTCTGAAAATTTACGTTTGAAATAATCAAGCCATATGTGTAAATGGATATTTCTGCCTTGTAAGTACTGAGAAGTGGAGGTGGTCTTGTGAACATGTGTTGCGTGTCGAGTTCAAATATACCCTCCCAAGGCAGAATGAAGTGCACTACCTGACCTTGCGTAACTCATAATCTCTCTGCCTAACCTACCTTATGTGTTCGTTGTTGAGGATAAAATAGGGAGAGGACTGATGCCCCATTGTGAACTCCTTGGGAGAAGTGCAGCACACAAACCTAATAAAAAATAATAATGCAATAAGCATGATTATAATTGGGGTCCTTTCCTAGCAGTGCTTTTCTAAAATAGAATGAGAGCTCTGCTTTTTCTTGTGTCACTTGTTTCAATGGGACCTGCCTAGGAGAAGTTCCCAAGAAATTGTGTCTTGGGTTAACTGCTTTGGAATTATCCGTTACTTAGAGCTTTAATACATTTTTTTTTTAAAAAAAATGTTGATATATATTTGTGTGTGTGTGTGTGTGTGTGTGTGTGTGTGCAGGCTTCCTCAGGACAATTGCATAATGAAACAGATTTCTATCGGAGAAGTTTTGACTTGTCTGAAACTCTTATTGCTAAGCAATAGGTGACAGCTTGCTACTATTATTTCACTTATGCATTTTGACAGATGGCGGTTCCTAGCGCAATGCTCTTTTAGACTTCTCTATCAGTCTAATGGAGGTAGCTGTAGGTTCTTTCAACTCTTCTCTTGGCACAAGAAGTATGTCAGTCATAAATTATCTTCTTTGTAATCATTAAACATCTGAAGCTAAAAAAAAAAAATCTAGTTCAGCCAAGCATGTTGCAGTGCGTGTCACATAAAATTAAGAGCTTTAAACCACAACATTTTCTATATATCCTTTTAGAATTAAAACAAAGCTTTTTTTTTTTTGCAACATCTTGTGTTTTTAAATAATAATAAACCTTCCTCCATTCTCCTGCGCATCCAGGAGTAAAATTTTAAAACCTACTGTTAGATGCAAGGACTCTATTTAAAAAGAGGCTTATTAAAAAAAACAAAAAACCATAAACCCTCCAAGAGCAGTATATAATGTGTGTTGTATCACTGAACCTCATGTGTCTTGTCTCCCCATTATGCTGTTAGGAGAAGGTGCTTCAGTTTCTAGATCACGTTGAACTTGTTTGACCTTTCTCTGCCATAACGCATGTTATATTTAATAAGTGACATTTGTGTGCATGTGTGTGTGGTGATTGTCTTTAAAGGAAACAGCCCTCCAAGAAGCTACTGGGAGCATTCTTAATTGACCTTGTGGGGGCCACATTGATTTTGTCACGTGCATCTTCATTTCTGATAAATTATAAAGCCATTAATTTGCAGAGGAAATGGCAGGGCCAGCCTGCCGCACAGATGTGACCAAAACTGTCCTAGCAAACAGTACACAAAAGAGTGCCAAGAAGCCCCGAGAAGGAGGGGTGACGGAAAAACCCGTCCCGAAAGCCTAGATTGTTATGCTTAGTTTCACATTCCCTTGGGAATGCTTTTGGTTATTTCTGTTTACAGGCCTGAAAGGTAATGATGTTTGAAGAATAAATAGGTATTCTTGCAGGGTAAGCGGCCATGGATCAAACGGCAGTTTTCCACTTCTCAGTATTTGCTGGCCCCCCAAACACATTTCTGTGCACCTTTAAGGAAAGCTCTTATTTATTTCTAATTGGGAGAAGGGTTCTCTAAACCTTTCCCTGCCCCATTCTCGAGGAGCTAGAGCATCAGAGATATTGGAAAACATGGTGTATACCTAGCGAAAACATTTCTATTTTTGCTCTTAGCATAATTTGATGTGAGTGATGTGGTACTCAGGGAAGAAGAATGCATCAAAAGGCAACTGCAAAAAGGGAGAGGGGAGTCTTCTTCTTGGAAACATGCATTGTGTGTTTGTTTCCTTAGCAACAGGTGAGCGCACACCTGGCGCTCAACCTTGCACCCACAAAATTTCCGCCACCATCTCCTAAGAAACAAATGAGGCCCAGTTCAAGATTTGCATGGAAGTAAGTTCTACAAGAATGGTTCCCAAGAAAGCATGTAGGTTTTCTCCAATTCCAGTTTTGACCCTTCTGAGGTGTGTTGCAACTTGAACGTTCATTTGTCGGTCAGTTCCAGGTACAACTCTTCTCCCAAAAGGTCTTATCAGTTTCCAAGCAAAGCGTTTTTCCTTAACTAATTTCATCCTACATGCAGGAAGGTCTGTCTCCCAACCACTTGAAAAAGGCCAAGCTCATGTTCTTTTATACCCGCTACCCAAGTTCCAACATGCTGAAAACGTACTTTTCAGATGTAAAGGTAGGAAAAATCCTTTTATTCATTTATTTTTATTTCCTCTTGCTTTTGGTTGCATGTTTTAACCCCCTGAATGCTTTTTTTTTAATTTAAATTTGATTTCGCTAATAATATATCTTGGCAAACTGTTATTATATTTTTTTGCTATTGTTATTATTTTGCTGCTAAGTCATTCTTAAGGTCTGTGTTTATGCTCTCCCTGTTCTGTTTATCTCCTTTACCCTGTGGACATTAAAAAAAACAAAACAGTAAATTTGTAATTTTTTTAAGCACCATTGGACAGCACGCTTTTTGCATCTGTGAAATGTCTACTGGTGGCATTAGCCTACTATACAAGAGCATTTTGAAAGTGCTCCTTTAATTGTTCCATTGCAGCCGGGTTCCTCCTATTCCGCTTAGATTAGTGCCCGCTGTGGAGACCCATTTTTCTTTCCGTCAAAAAAGAAAAGCGGGGGGAAAAGAAATACTACATTGAAATTCTCCGTGCAGTAGCTGCTTAAAAACAAAAGTGATGATTGTCTCTTATTTACAACTTAATTTGTTGTTGATGCAGAGTACACTGAGCATAAGGAGGATGAATAAACTGACAGATTCAGGCCACATTATTCAAATGAGGATATGAAAGCTGTCGACGTACAGCTGCATCCTCCCCTCATTTTACAGAATATTAGGACCTCCTGGTTTTTTTTTAAAGTAATTGTTCTTTCACATTAACTTGATTTTTTTGTGTTATAATCATCTACTTTTTTTGCGGGGGGGGGACAAGTTTGGGTTCCAATTATTATAATGATACACATGGTATCATTTTGTCAGCCTTTAAAGATAAACATCACATTAGTTTAAAATTGCCATGTTAAAATTCTTCTCTTCTTGCCTACCCCCCCCCCCAATTCTACAAAAACTTTAGACATGATCACCACCTCTCCTCCACTTTTGCAAATTTGCCTTCTGTGCTTCAGGGATCTTCTTAAACTGGCCTCCTGTGAAAATGGCCTGCTGTTCACTTTTTTCTCACTTTTTTTTTTAAAAAAAAGAAACTTGGTCTATCTTGTTTAGTTAATTGGCTTCTATTTAATCAATTTAAGAATTGGGGTGTTTTGAATTGCACACCCTTCCTCCCATTGGTTGCAGCATTTTACTTAGAAATATTTGTGCTTTGTGGGCTGTTTTTAATGGGTTCTTCTTTCATTTTTCTTTTTGCATGGCATACATGTAAACGTACATTCAACATATTCTGCCTTGCTAGAGTTTCGGGCCAAACTGGTTTTCTAGGCTTTTTCTTACTTCTGCTTTTTTTTTTTAAATTTAAGAAGTGCTTTGAAAACCCTTTTGTCCAGAAAGTCAAGTAGGGTGTTGGCGAAGAAAACTGAATGTGTGTATTGCTGTTAACGACTGCTCTGTCATAGGCTTTTGCTTTAATAATAATAATAATAATAATAATAAATAATGCACCATCCATACAGTGCCTATGCCTGGTTAATAACCTGCTATGACTCATCCAATGGGCCAATGAAAATGCTTCTGTGGCAGTATTACCTGCAATGCAACAATGTAAAGAATTGTTCTGGAGACGTTGGAGCCATTGGTGGAGCTTGACCGCAGTATGGCTCGAGGGAATCCTCCTAAAGGCTCTCTCTGCTCCAGTGTTTCCCAAACTTGGGTGTCCAGCTGTTTTTGGACTACAACTCCCATCATCCCTAGCTAGCAGGACCAGTGATCGGGGTGATGAGAATTGTAGTCCAAAAAGAGCTAGAGGCCCAAGTTTGAGAAGCCCTGCTTTGGTGGATGCCGATGTAGGCAGCCCTACAGAAAAGAAAAAAGTCTCGCTAGTATGTAGTGCCTGTTGTCTTTTTTCAGCATGTGACAGCCGAAGTCGGTCTTCTTGCGATGTTGCCGAGTGATATGAAATATTTTGATGTTATGCCACCTTATATTTATATAGCATCATTCATCCAGAAGAAGCCCAAAGTGCTTTACAAACAGCCAATATAGGGATCATTCACCCACCACTGAAAGGCAGCCACTTCCGTGGTGGAAGGCAACAGCCATTCGGGGTCAGCAACACCACACACCAGTAGATGTAAATATTAGATACATTCCTCTTTTCTTGGGGGAGCGGGGTTGGAGGGTGGGTTTCCACGTTTAATATTTTTGGAATGTTTTATTTCATGGTAACAGTTCGTGGGTAAAGTCAGGCTCTCCTTTAACCTGCTCTGTAAATTTGGTTGGGCTGAATGTGTGATCCGGGCTGGGTTAATGTTTATTTTAGGCAAGCTGCAAAGTAGACGCTTGTGGGAATTGTGCACATAATTTTCTCTCTCTCTTTTTGCATTGAGCACCTTTAAAAAAAAAAAATGTCAGGAGATGGGAAAGGGCTACTTATCTCCAGAAAGCAGATTGATGTCTTCAGTCTTAGCCAGATAGAATACTGGTACAGTAGTCTGGTGGAATAAGACCAATACTATTGCTTACTGCAAATAGAATGTAAGAAAGCTGTGCCCAACCTGGTTCCTTCCAGATGTTTTGGGCTTCAATCCTTTCATTCCTGACCGTTGACCAAGCTGATTGGGTCTTTCTGATGAGTCTAGAACAACTGGAGGGCACCAGGTTGGGGAAGGGTAGTGAAAAATATTGACCATTGGCCTTTCTAAGTCAGGCTTGTTCACGTTGACTAGCAACAACACTATAAGCTCTTCACGGCCCTTCTGCCTGATGTTCTTCAAATGGCTATTCCAGGAATTGAACCTTCTGTGGGCTAGCCATTCAAAGGTGTCATGCGCAGGTCAGGAAAATGTGGGTGGGAATGAGGAGAGGCGCTCTGTGGGGAGGGGGGAGGCCTGCAGGCTCCTTTTGAGTAGATTCTTTCCATGTGTATGGAGGTAGTTTTATTTATAAAAGAAGAGAGAGGCCCTGTGATAATGGCATAATTTGGGAGACATGTTTACTTTCATCTGGATTTGCAAAGGGACATGGTGTCACCCATAAACTTGTGTCTGGACAGTTGACCCAACTTACTTTAAACCAGTTCTTTTATTTTTTAAAAAATCAGTGTATCCTCCACCTCAAGTCACCTTTTTATAGTGTTTAGTTAGCCAAACCATGCTAGGCAACAGTAATTCAAAATCAGCTTGGCTAAACTTTAGTGTCAAACTTTTGGTTGGTGTTCAACCAACTCTTACTCAGAGTTGGTCCAGTGCTATTAACGAACATGGCTATTAGCCTCAATAGATCTACTCTAAGACATAGTTGAACACCACCCTTTAAAAAAGAAAGCTTTAAAAAGATTGCAAACAAACAAACAACCTCTCACAATTTTCACAAGTTCATGCCAGCAGATACAGAACATGTATGAATCACTACTTCAGCAAAACATTATAGATCATAATATGCCAGTCTTACCAGATATCCCTGCTGGAACAATAGGTTGGGGTTTTAGTCCAACTGAACTCCTTGGTGTAAATGATCAATAAATTGACTTCCTAAGTATTTGCTATGTACACAGGCCGCTAGTTAAGACAGGTGAAAGAGAAACCCAATGCAACTTAATGCATGAATTTACATAATGCATTATAGCCAAAAAATCTAGACACAATTAGACTAACATGAGATACCCTGGTCTAACTTAGCTGCATGAGAATGTTGCCCGTACTCTCAAAGACCAAAACCAATGGGTTCAGGAGTGCCAGCTTAGTGACTGTGTGTGTCTGGGGCCGTGGGTGCCATGCCAGCGCTCATGGCCCTGGCACTGAAATTTGTGGGTGCTTGGGCACCCAGGGCCTCAGGGAGTTGGCACCTATGGTAGGTTTGATAGTGTAGCTATTCATGTTTCTAGATAAGAAAGAGGTCTTGAAGAAATTTCTGGGTCAGATGCTTTTAGTTAATGTGAAGGAAGAACCAATGGAAGGACTTCATAATGTACGGTGGCAGAATAGGAACTCTTTCTGTTGTATTAGCAGTGCCTATAAAAAACCTCAAGGAACACTCTTAACACTAATGCAATCAGGGAAGAAAGGATGGATGGAGCCCATCCTCCAGGGTCCTTCTTTCTACCACAACCCCATGTGCCCCATTAAAAATCCATTCCAAAAAATCAAGAGATCATTCAGAGTGGCCTCCAGTGCGGCATGTGAATCTATAGTTGGAACAGAATCCCTGGAAAACACACAAGGGCTCTTTGGAACCCAGCCCATGCACTGCAATCTATCCTAATACGTTGTACAATAAATATACAAAGTCCAGTTTAGTGCTCTGTGCTGGTCTTGTACTCAAGAGAGCTTATTCCCCCCCCCCCAAAAAAAGCCAATTTAACCAATTTGAAAAGAATAAAATATTTTTCATACACAGATAAGCCCCAAAAATCTTTCGTTTGTAAATAAATCCAAACTGATTTCTGTGGATCAATCTTGCTTACTTAGTTTATTTGAAATTGTCCCATTGATTTTTTTTATTTTTTCAATCGCTTATGCATGAATCACTGTACCCAAATCCACCCTTGATTTTTCTGCTGCTTGACTTAAGGAGCTGCCATTAGTGAGGCTGAATAAGATGCAACCATCTTATAATTTTGTCCCTAAACTGGGGGAAAGGGGAAATCTCCTGAGTCGGTATTGTGGGAACAAAAAAGGATTCTCCTTGTATCATCTTCTTTCGCTCCACTTGATGCCGATTTTAATGTATAAGCTAATAATTCTAAGACTACTAAATACAACAGATTCAGTGTCATTTTAGCTTTGAAGAACAGGCGCTTCCAGGCTTTTCAACCCAGCAGTGTTAAATGATGTATCTCATTCCCTCCACCCCTTGAGTCAACTGCTGCCTAGCCAGATTAAGGTGTCAGATTGATTTGTTTTATACATCTTTTGACCATGCTCATTGAATATTTAGGAAGTTTCTTCAGCCCATATTGAGGCTGAGGTATCCCGTGGGAAGCATTAATCAAAGTCACAGAGACTCTTACACTGTGGAAACACAGACTCTTTATTGTAGCGATTAGTTTTTGCAGTAACACATTAACACACTACAGAGCTTTTCTTTTATAGAACAATTGATCCTTTTCTTGTACTCCACTAGAGAAGGGCGGGGGGAATAATTAACTCTTTAAAGTTTAGCAATTTTAAAAAGACTGATTTATCTACACCAGAACGTTGAGGCGAGAGAGGGCATTTGTCTCTGTGTTTGTGTGTGTGTTGCGCACACATTCGTATGTATGCACAATTAACTCACTCTCCGAATGTTTCTATACTATTTGAGCTGATTAGTTTTGTTCCTTAAGCGCTTATGTCTGTAATTTTTGCATGTCTTACTCTTTTTTTGTCCACACTAAAACTTTCTCTGATGTTTCCATGCTGCAGCAATAAGCATTAAATCTCTCTTTCTGTCCTATTGCTAAATAATGACATGCGCACCTACTTTTTGTTGTTGTTGTTGTCCACATTAGGTCATTCATGACCATTCTAGAAAAAGAATCCCCTTTCTATTTTCCTCCCCTTCTACAGTACTCTTGCCCATATGAGACAATGTCTTGTAACAATGCAGGGGCCTAATCTCCATGTCAAAGCAATTTTCATTCCCCAGTGCACACCCTGCTATCATTTTGTAATGTTTTGTTTCTTATTCTAAAAGAATTAAAAAGGAACAGTAAGCCGTCACGGGGGCCTGTAGTCCTTATCTCAGTGTCTGGAAATTTGGACAGTGTATTTTACTGCTGAGATAAAATGGAAAGAACTCCAAGTTCAGCAAATCGTAATGGGTTTAAGTTCTATTGAAATCGGTAACCAGAAGATCAGATAACGGGGGTCCTTCAGTTGTCTTTTTAATCAGGTTCCCCGCAAGGGCTGAATAGAGACAGAGCAGACACACAGAGTGAAAATATAATTCTTGGATAGGTTAAGTACATGTTTGAACTCTTGCAAGCAGAAGCGATTTGATGATGACTTAATCATTTTCTGGTCAATTATCTGTAAGGACCCTTGCAACTGCATGGCAATTATGATGCAAGTTGGCCTTTTGGGAGAAACACCAGTCTCCCTGCTTCTGTTTCCTTGTTACTTAGATTCCCTGCCATAAATTTTCATTCGTTTATTATCTTTGCTAGCATGGAAACAACTTTCTGTGTAGTAATTACAGCCCCAATGCACACTTTAGCTGTCATCTTGTTGGAGGCCTGGATGTTCTCATGGCCAGCGTTTGATAAGTGTTCTTTGTTGATTTTTGATTAATGCACATCTCTTTCTGGGGGCCGGGGGAAGTGAATGCCTGTGATGACAAAAGGCAGGGGGTAGTATATCAGCCTGCCAGATATATAGCTATGGATTTATTGGTTTTAACTTGGCAAGTCAAGTTGCATCTGTCCTTTACACGCAGGAAGGGCTGTCAATAAGAAGGGATCAGCTGCAACGCAGCTTAGGTGACATCTTCAGTTCAAAGGTCAGAGGAAGAGTAAGAAAACTTGTCCTGAAAGACGTGGGCACTTTTAACCTTGACCTTCTGACTTCTAATAAAGGGATCCAGTGCATTTTCCTCCATCTTATGGATGAGCTGGAAAACTTTAAATTTGCTGGACGGAATGCCAGGGATTAATGGAGGCTTTGCGGATTTCGATACTCAGGATATGATAAGCATCTACAAACACATGCAAATTTTTTAATTTATTTTTTGCAAAGTGAGAGCAACCCTATAGGAAGGCCCCCTTTTTGTTTAGAGTGTGTGCAATAAAGAGAGAGGGGAATTCTTTTTAGCTTGACATAGAACGAGAAAGGAATTTTGCATCAGATCTATGTGACACACTGAAATGTAACTAACTTCAAGTTACTTATGTCTGTTACACCACCTACCCATAAATATTTTCTAAATTGATTTCACACTTTTATTTGTGGGGAATAACTGCTACATAATAGGAAACACATTGCAACACTCCCCCCCCCCCCATCTTATATGTGGCCTTCAATGGGCAAGACATAGTCACATTTTACTGTTTTGGCCACTCATCTCTTATATCAGACAAAATACATCAGCACAAACCTGGAAGGTACTGGACACCTCCTCCTATAAGAGCCTAGAAGCTTGCTAGTGGTGCCTCAAAATTTGAAAGTGCTTTCCATGCATGATACATAACTTGATAGAAAAGCAGTGCTCTTTAGCAACTTTAGGAACGAGATCCAGTCCTTTCCCGTTAAAAAAATTGGCACAGCATTTTTATATCATTTGACTTGACCACTCAAGCCTCTTTACCCCTTGGGTTTAAAAAAAGCTTTTGAAGCTTGGCTATGGGGCAGTTTGGAAGAGAAGGGGTGGATGTAAGAAAGGATGTTGTGAAATGGGGAGGAAAGAGAGGACGTGTCAACGCTCTAATCCTCCTTGCTCTTCTGATTTCCACAGTTCAACAGATGTATTACCTCTCAGCTCATCAAGTGGTTTAGCAATTTCCGTGAGTTCTACTACATTCAGATGGAGAAGTATGCACGCCAAGCCATCAACGACGGGGTAACAAGCACTGAAGAGCTGTCCATAACCAGAGACTGTGAGCTGTACAGAGCCCTCAACATGCACTACAATAAGGCAAATGACTTTGAGGTACGCTGTGACCTTTCTGGGTTTCTTCCTCTTCTATGCATGCATATAATTGAAATTCCCCCCTCCCTTTTTTATGCATTTTCGCTTATTTTGGAAATTGTTTCTTTTACAGTGCCCACCTTGCGAATGATGTTAATGTGTTTTGTTCTATGTTTTGTTAAAAAGGGAAGAAGGTCATTTTTGCCTGCCTTATCAGAAAGCAGGAAAGTTTTCTGTCTGGATAGCAGAGCGCTGCATTTGGGTTGCTTGCATTTTCGAGAGCGATTTTCTTGAAAAAGCCACCCTACTCGAGATCTTTTGACTGTAGCTAATCGTTTTGCAACCCGGGCAGAAAACGCAGCTCGCGAGCGAAACAAAAACAAACAAAAGCGCGACTTAGTTGTGTCTCGGTTCCATTGAAATCAACGGGGACTAGGCCTATCTAAATGTCTCTGGATTATACCCCATGGATTGGCAGCTTTGATTGAAACTCTTCCTTACAGGCCAACAATGAGCGGGTGTGAGCCAATCACCGAGGCCTTGGCTCAGCAAGCGATTGTTGCTAACCTGCTGACCTTCCGTAAGCCCCACGGTGGCATATTCCTCCGTGCTGATGATAAGCGTTTTGCACTGTCAGATGCAGGGATGAGGCGAGAGGGGCTTCTGGGAGTTGTCACTCTGTGGCATTGAAGCCTTGTGGCAGTGCGTTGGTATTATCTGCTCAAAGGATGGGCCACATTGTTTGGTATAAGCTGCACAGTGGCGTGGTCAGAAGGGGTGGCAAGGGCTTTTGTTTCTTTCCCTATGGAAGTAGTACTGTGCTGGGTACAAAAACGTTTCTAAAGTGATTGCCATCACCACCATCATCACATCTAAGTGATTCAGTTGGAAAGGGACACAGAAGGTTAGGATGCAGATTTCACTTCTACTCTTACTCATTCACCGGAGCTTTTTATTTCAGGGTGTGTTGCCAAAACAAAACAGCCATGGCCCATCAGGCTTATTCTTTATCAAATGTGTGCCCTACCTTGTGGTACTGGCTATTGAAGATCCCTCTAGACCAGTGTTTCCCAAACTCGGGTCTCCAGCTGTTTTTGGACTACAACTCCCATCATTCCTAGCTAGCAAGACCAGTGGTCAGGGATGATTGGAATTGTAGTCCAAAAGCAGCTGGAGACCCAAGTTTGGGAAACCCTGTGCTAGATGCTTCTGGACTGTAGCTCCAATCGTCCCTGGCCTTTTATGGGCCATGCTGGCTGGGGCTGATGGGAGTTGGAGTCCAGCAACCTCTGGAGGGCCAATGACTACACTACTCTTGGATGGAGCTTCTTCTGAAGAAACCAAGAACAAAAACAAAGGGAAAGTGCATTTGACACCCTCCTAACAACAATTTAGCAGAAGATGAATATGGGTTATATGTACAATTTCACAATATGAGCCTGTTCTCATAAATCACGTCTCTGTCTGAAAATGTAAAAGCATTAATATGCATCTATATATTGCGTTGCCCTCTTTCTGTCTTTGAACTACCCATGTGAGTCTTTCTATGTTGCACAGTTTAAAGCATGGAGGAAATGGCTTTTAATTGGAGCAGCCTGAGGCTGCAACATAACACCTATGGTATATTGTTCCCAGTAGTTTGCAATTATATGATCTGGAGATTGCAGCATAAGTTTTGCCCCCCAATAAGTTAATTTCTTATAACACAGAACCCCTTTCCCTTGTGTTCATAAGCATGGCTATGAAATTCCTAATTCATACAAACAGCTGGATGGCAGCTTTAAGACTGCTACCCACTAGGCTGAAAACCCGGACCTGAACAGGCCATTACTGCATATCGTTTAATCTGAAGGTATGCATTCTTGCCTGATCAGCGGCCAGCCCAGGTGACTAGCACTGAAGCAAAAATGACATGTACTGTGGTGTTGAAATTGGATCTGAAGACCTTGAGCAAATGGAGCGTTTTCCATATTTAGCATCATCAGAGTTCCTCCCCTTCATACTTTTATTGCTGATCCTTTAATATAATTGAAGCCTGATATGCCTTTCATCTTAAATAATTTAAATGGATTTTCCTAAACCTTTTCTGCTCGCTTCCTCTTACGGAGTTAACATTCATAACGTATTGAAGAAATGGGGATAAAATCTCATAGAAAAAGGGGGCTCTGGGTGAATTATGGAACCTGTTTTCCTTAAGATCTATTACTCAACATACACCTGCCAGAGCCACATCACACATTGTGCAAGCGGCGTCCCTGTGGACAACACACATGCTTTTTAGACTCATGAATGTCCTTCAGCAGTTCATACGAAACACATCCTCAACCCACTGCGGAGCTGCTGGGGCCTGCCTTTGCTCTAACATACAAGCTGGCTTTTCTGACTTCCTTTCACAATGCCTTGGAGCCGCCAGCAGCTGTTAACAGAACTCAAATAAGATCCTTAACAATCCTCATGCCTCCTTACTTTAGATTTGTCACAATCGCCTCAGGCTCATAGCCAGAGGTAGCTGAAACACCTTGCAGAAGGATTTGGTGACTGAACGAGTAATCTCTCTCTGTTTGCGAGAAGTGTACCAATTTGTTTCTGTGTTTCTGTGTGCTGTCATTGGAGGTCAGTTGAAATTGTGAACACATTAGGCTCAGCTGCAACACAAAACTGAACCAAATCATCTTTAGAAGTAAGCAAAACTTACATTCTGATGAATTAAAGATACGCGTGCTGGGGAAGGAGGATTTTCATATGTCTATCCTTGCGCGTTACTGTTTTCACAAATGGTAACTTATAGAGCATCCTACTCCACCCTAATTCATTTATGTTTTCAGCACACATTAAATAGAAGCTCTCCCTCCTAAATAAGCAAAACAAAAAACACCTCAGCAGCTATGTGTGCTGTTTGTGTAATCTCTGGTATGTTTTAAACTCAAGTATCTAAAGACTGCAATTCTAGACACACTTAGAACAAAGCTCCATTGAACTTGCAAGTAGACATCTAGATGTGCACTCCAAATGCGATAGAAACATACTTATCCTGGATGGTTTGCAGAGAATATTTTAAAGGGAATCAGAACATGAAAGAGACAGCAGCTTTCTATGGGTTTCTTACATAAGTCACACACACACACATATATTATTTGGTTTTAATATTTAATTGTTAGGGTGGATTTATTTAGCTCTTTGTTCTCCCACCGGCTTTCCCCCAGTTATCTAGTGGTAGTAGCACTGGACCAGTTCCAGTTTATCCTCTACTTCCTTGCCCACCTAAAGATTAGGTAGACAAGCATATCAAACTTGTGAATGGCCACTGAACATTTTGGGATTTTGCAGAAATGTAATTGCTTGTACGCTGTGAGTGGCAGATCAACTCAACCTAGACGAGGAGTACTTGTTCAAATTACACTTTGTTCCAATTGCACTTAGATGCAGCTTTCCCCATTGCATTTCGTACTTGGGCAAATTTATCTGAGGAGAAAAGAAGTGATTGTGAAATGTACTGGTGGGATTCAACCAAGTTGTTATGTGCATGGAATGAGGTCCACTTGTGAATGAGATCTTTCCCGCTTTGTTCCCCATACCCTTTAAATCCGCTCCTGAGGTTGAGGTGTAATAGGGGGGAGTCCCATTGCACAAGCAGACCTCGTTCTGTGCTGGCATACCCCACTTAGCACTATGTTGAATTCCACCCTATGTACCTGTGTAAATTGCTGTTTTCCCCCTTTAAAATATACAGAATTGGCATTTGGGAAGCAAATTAGCTGCATTCCCCCCCCCCCATCAACATGCATTCCACACCAGTTGTGGTTCACTGTGAGCTCCTAGATATAAAATAGATACATTGCATAAATACTCATACATGGATGCTTCTGCTTTGCAACTAAAAGTAGCTTTGGGAAGTTGATTTGCATTTGGGAACTGGCATTGAAAACAAGAGTTAAACTCTCCATCCTGCCTTACAAATATCAGGGCCTTCTGCAACTGCTTTGAGGAAAGAGGAGGAAGTTGTCTGGAAATCCAATAACAGAACTCCCATGTCATGTGGCCCTCAGTTATCATGTGCCTTGAGAAGCATGTAGTTATGCCCATGGTGGGATACAGGAGCGAGACTCATGGCCTTCCCCTTATGCATATGTTCTGTGTAAACTGGACTTGCTCATGTCAGTCACTCAGCCCTTTTCCATAGTGTGGACCACATCTCCAGAGCCAACCTCCATAGGCACTCTTGCCTGTATACCTGATTAAAGGCTATAACATGCAGTATGGAAGATGAGCCAAAGGCTGACTCATACACCATACAGAGTGTGGAACCTACATATCTGGTCCACATGTCTCTGCCTTGTTGTATTTAATTGTTTTGTGGATTAAACGGTATTGGGGATCAACCTGCTAAATACTGTAGCAAGCACTATGCTTACAGTGAAGGAAAACAAGGTGAGTGAGGAGAGGCCTTCACTCGGACATCGATGCATACAGTGCTGTGCAAACATTTGAAGGAAGGGAATCTGGAACCCTGGTTGCTCAGGGTTCCAGATCATGTTCTATATCCCTATAGGTGTCTGTGCAGATTTGGCGTGGCCCCACTTCCCCACTTGTGTATGTATTAACTGTATGCAAAACCCCTGAACAAGGCTTGCAGTGTTAATTTTATGGGGAGAGGCAGCTGAAAGGTCTTGTGAGACATGCTGGGAGGATCCTTGGAGCCAAAAGGTAGGCGGCTAAGGATGCTAGTTGTGCAAGCAGCACCTTGTTGCAGTGACTGCCAGTGTGTGCAGGTATTCCTTGCAAAGTCTACTCTCCCCTATTCAATGGAAGTGTCTGCTACATGAGCCCCTAGAAGCTGACAGTTGCATTGAAGCGAGTGGTGGAAGGCTTTCAATGGAGGGGCTTCCTGGTACACTGCTGCACACATGGTGTTTGAAATTAGAAATAAATATATACAATAAGAATGCATGAACTAAAAAGTGGACAGCATAGCCAGTAATATATGCACCTGTTTTACGAGCACTGTTGTTTATAATATGGAC